TTGCATATAATCCAGAAACTAAAACTGTATCAAATGAGGACACCACCAACATTATGACTCATTTCGTTGGAGTTGACTTTAATTCATTATATCCTTCATCATTTTCATCTAATCCTCATGATTTCATTCAATATACTGACCATAAAATGTATATGCCGGGAAGATTGAATGGTGTTATCATTTGTGATACAGCAACAAAGAAAGCAAAAGCACTGGGAATAATTAAGAAGAAAAATACTTTATTCGTGGCTGAAGTAAAGGGTCACATTGATGAAAAATACATTAATGATTACATAAACTTTTTACCGATAATAAGAAACTTAGATATTATCACAGATGAAAAAACAATTGGCAGTTTTATGTATAATTACATGAAATCAAACAATCTACCAGTTGACCAGAAACAGAGGAAATTAACTTAGTTAGCATCAACACACAACAATATCAACCATTTTCTTCTTATTATCTATGGTATCTAATCGACAGGTTTAATTTTATCATCGATGATATTCAATCAATTTTAACATTTACGAAAAACACTTGTTTTAATGAATTTGCGAACAAATTTATGAACGAAAGACAAAAGGCTGAATTAGAAGGAAATAAAGGAAAAAGTTTATTTTGCAAATTTCACTTGATGGATCATATGGTTACGATGCAATGAATACACAAAATTACGCAAAGACTAAAATAATGAATGCACAGAAGTCACGCGTTGCATGTATGTCAAATAAGTTTAAAAACATAAGAGAAATAGGTGAGGATACATATCAAGTGATGCTTAAAGATAGATTTTATAGATGTGATACATGTTTACAAGAGGCATTCTTCACTTTAGATAATGCTAAATACTGGTATTTGGTTTTCATTTATGATTTTATGTATAAATGCTTGAATGTTAATCGTTTTCATTTCATTGAAGGTGATACTGATTCATCTTATTGGGCAATCGCTGGCGACCCAAATCTTCCTAACACTCAAGCATTTCAAGCAATTGTTACCGATAAACAATTTTATGATAAAAACATTTTCAAATTCGCACCATTTGATTTCTTTTGTTTTGATGAGAAATTTAAACCTAAATTAAAGAATAAAGCTGAAGAAAAAGCACATGAGAAGAAGTTATTGGGTTTAGCAATTGAGAAACAAGGTGATAACATGGTTGCTTTATGTCCTAAGTGTTATACATCATTCAACGGTTCAATTGATGGGGGTGATTTTAAAAAGATTGCACAAAAAATGAAAGGTGTTAGTTTAAGACAAAATAAGCAATTAACACCTAAAAAATATTTGGATATAATAAATGATAAAGTGATATTTGATGGTCAGAATATTAATTTACAACTTAAAAACGGGTCAATGACTCGCTTAACAATCGGTAAGACTGCATTAACAGGAGCACACACTAAGGCTGTATGTTGTGAAAATGGATGTTGTATGCCATTTATTTAATACAAGTTACAATTTATTTTTAATGAAATGCCACAGAAGAGACAAAAGGAACCGTTAATGATGGTTTTGATACTATGATTCAAAGAGGTGGGCACCCTTAAACATTTATTTTATTTTTATATAAATGAATAGCGTAGATTTAAAAATTTTAATTAATGATTTAGTACTTAATCAAAATTTTCTTAATTATTATGATTTAAAAGCATATCTCCAAAAATATAATAATATAACGGGTGATGATATGGAATATTATTATCCATATTATAAAAATGAAATTTTGAAATATCATGATAGAATAATTTCTAAAATTAAAGACAAAATTAAAAATAATGAATATACAAAGGGAAAAACTAAATCACAACTTAAACAGTTGAAAGATTTCAAAAATAAAGTATTAACAGAAGAAGATATTGATGAATTATATAAATTATATAATCCTGAGCCACAAAAACCAAAGCTGAGGTCTAAAGTAGCAAATGTTCAACAGCTAAAGGAACAAAACGCCCAGGTCCTTCAGACCATAAATGAAGCACAAGCTTTAATTTATGATTCATTAGTTAAACCATATTCAGCCCGACTTTTAAATGAAGATCAACTTTTGGAATTCATCCTTCAACATAAACTCGAAGCGGGAAAGTATATCAAACCTTTATATACAGCATATTTAAAACAAATGAATAGAATACATCCAGAATTAATGAAGGGGGAATGAATTCCAAAACTTCATCATCCAAAATCAAAGCAGATAAAATTAAACCACTTGCAACACCAAAACTTCCAACGACAGTACCGCCTCCTCCTTCAGTTAATCCTTCATCATTCACTTTATTATATCCATTTCAAACATTAAAGAAGCAAAAAGATTTTAAAAAGTGTTTCAAGATATTAAATAAACCAACTGACCCAAAAATTCAACCGTTAAAGGAAAAATTTAGTCGCCCTTCATTTGCACCATATCCATATTCATACGAAATCGATCATCTGGAATATTCAAAAGGAAACGTTACTTATTTATTTGCCATTAACATTAACACTAGATATTTATATTGCATTCCAGTGAAAGGGAAAACAGAACAGGAAACAAGAAGAGCTATTCAATACTTACTAGATCATGAAAGAGTAGATAATATCAGGGGTGATGGCGATAAAGGATTTCAGGCAACTATGACTCATTATTTCCCACAAATTAATTTTTACTTCTCATCTTCTCCATATACGTTTCATAATAAAACAGTTGATGCGGTAATGAGAACTCTTAGAGATGCGTTAGGGGTTAACGGTCAGATATACTGGGATGGAAATCATGACTCCATCATACAACAGTTAGTATATTATTATAATAATACATGGCATAGAACTATAAACATGAAACCAGTGGAAATGAAAAATGATATTTCAAAAGAATGGGAATATATTATAGAAAGCAAATGGAAAGGTTAAATGATGTTAAACGTGAACAAATTAATTCGGGGCTCATGAATTTTAAACAAGGGGATAAAGTTTTGATTCATCTCGATTATGGAAAAACTGATAAATCAATGACAAAAAGAAGACGAAGATTTGACACAATAGCTGAATTTGTTAGATATATTAACGGTAATGCATTAGTTGAAGTTGACAATAAATTAATAGAAATTCCGATTTATTTTATTACTCCATTATATTTAAATAATATTTAATTTTTTTTTATTTCGTAAGAAATGAGTGACAACAAAGCAGTCAAGAGTCCAGACAATGAATATAAAAAGAAACTAAACAGAATTAAATCAAAAATATGCTATTACAAAAAGAAGCCGCAATGTGGTGGGGTTGATGCCCATAAAACTAAAGTAATTGAAAACGATGAAAAAGATAAAGAAATAATCGAAAAATTAGAAACTTACCGTTCAATCCTTAAACTGGGTGAAGCAAAAATAAAAGAATTTAATAGAATAAATAAATTGATTGGAAGAGATGAATTTAATAAAGATGAATTTTTAAACTCTATCCAAATTTAATTTTTATTCCTCTTCGACAACGTCTCTCTTTCCATCATTAGTGCATAACCGCATTTTCTCAGTTTTAGTGGTTTGTTATTTTTAATTCGTTCTTGCATCATTTTTATCATTTCCTCCCTTGTTATAATTCGTGGTAAATTTTGAGCTTGTGGGGTATCCATTTATGATAAAAATAAAAATTTGTTATCACTTATTTTATCGTTAATGTTTTACGTTAATGGTTTTTAGGTTATTCATTAATTAATTATTTTTGAAGAACTGAAGGTGTCACCAGGTCACCAGGTCACCAGGTTAATTAACTTCTCTGAAAAAATGAGACAACATGACATTTAGACAACAACACAGGAAGAAGGCAGTTATGAATTATTTTTGAAGAACTGAAGGTGTCACCAGGTCACCAGGTCACCAGGTTAATTAACTTCTCTGAAAAAATGAGACAACATGACATTTAGACAACAACACAGGAAGAAGGCAGTTATGAATTATTTTTGAAGAACTGAAGGTGTCACCAGGTCACCAGGTCACCAGGTTAATTAACTTCTCTGAAAAAATGAGACAACATGACATTTAGACAACAACACAGGAGGAAGGCAAAAATAAATTCCAATCATACTTTATAAAGCTTCATTTACAGGTATTTCATCGTCAGTAAATGAATCCTCATTATCGTTTGGTTCAACCTGTTTATATAATCATTTCATTTCTTCTTTCAAAACATAACACCACGTCTGTTTATCGTCTATTCTTCTCTGTTGTTGACATATCTGTCTTTATATTCCGGATAAAAAAATATTTTATAAAAAACTAACTTTATTTTCTGACTTTCACAAAAGACCAAAAATAAACGCTTTACATGTATTTTTCAGCAACTTCGTCAAATAATTTTATAGCTTTATCTATCTCATCTACTTCAAACGTTTCTTTACCTTTCATGGGAGCACCATACCTTTTCTCAAACTTTTCAAGTAGTTCTGTTTCAGCAGCTCTCATATCATTAACGAACACAACCTTGACTCTATTGACTGTACTGTCATATCTTTGAGTTATATTATATGTTCTTCCTATCTTATATCTCTTTGTATTGAAGTCCTTCGGTTTCTGAACGATGTAAAGTAAGCCTTCACTGCAACGTTCCGTATCGAATGAACCATAAGTTATGAAGTTATATCCAACAACTGGGTCTAACCATAACAAAACTATTGGTATAAGACTTTTGTCAATGAGATATGCTGTAGTTCCATAGAATCTTACCGATATCATAAGCTCAGGATTTCTTGTCAAAATTTTCTGAGTTGAAGCATTTCTAACCCAGTCGTTTGTTTTCTTTCCAGATGGAGATATAATGTCTGACAAAGAATATTTGTTGTATTTCTTTGAGTATCTTACGTTTAAATCACCTATTCTAACCACTTTGGTGTCATTGTCTATCTTTCTAACTGTTTCAAACTCAATGTTTGTCATTTCTGTTCTTACATACAAAATAAAAATATATTTTAGGTGAAGAGGTGAGATTTCACCTGTTTTCTCACCTAATTTTTAACCCCAGTTATTTTATAAGCGTTTTACATGAATTGTACGATGTATATTTGAAATTCTAAACAATTTCGTAGCTTCTATTTCTTCTGTCAGTATGTCAAAAGTTTTAACAATGCCGAAAGTTTCTTTATACTTCTTCTTGACATCAGATAATAGGAAATCGTCAGCTGTTGGATAGTTTTTGTTCAGAAATGCTAACATGTCCATTTTATCTTCTGCTGGTTTCTCTACTTCTTTCTTTAAGTCAGCATAGTCGTTTCTCATACGTTCTATCTCTTTGACGGAGTAGTTATATTTCCTCATTGCTGCTTTACATTTTGAACATTGCGGATTCATTTTTGCGTTATACATTGAAATTTGACCTGTTAGAACAACTAAGGCGTCAATGGTTTTCTTTAACTCAAAAGTTGTTGGTTTTATTTGTCCATTCCATATTTTACATCTTTTATCTTTATCTCTTATCTGCCATACACATTCAGCAACTAATGAAACAAAGTTGTCGTATGTCTTAAACTCCCCAGATTTATATATGTCAGAGATGTTCTTATATACCATGTCGCAATCTTTGTCCATAACTTTATGATTGCAATGATATCCTAGAAACTCATAGTTTACTTTACGTATGAACTTCTTTATTTCTACTGAGTCAGTTGGTTTCACTTCTATTTCATCGAATTCATGAATAGTTAGTTTTTGCTGCTGAATTTCAGGCAATTTGGGTAAATGGTCAATAATGTCCTGCATGTCATAAAGATACTGTTCATTTGTTTCATCTTTCGCACTACAGTCTAAATTACTTGTTAAAAGTTCTTGCTTAATTCTTTGTATTTCTGTCTCAAAAGTATATGAAGAAGGAATGAAGCTTTTCATCTCTACCAACATTGACGTAGGATTCATGACTAGCGAGTTTGGTGCTGTAGTTGTTTGAATTGTTGTTGTGCCAATTGTTGAAATCATATCTTTTATACAAAATAAAAAATAAATAAAAATAAAGTTAGTTTTATTTTTTCTATCTTAAGGAAATTCATGAAAATTCACGAGAAAGCAAAAGCAATCTGAGCCGCTAAGCGGTGAGAAAACAGGTGAAAAATTAGGTGAGAAAACAGGTGAAATCTCACCTCTTCACCTAAAATATATTTTTGTCTGATTTACACTCATTACGATGAAATCATGACAAAGGATATACGCTCATGTTTGACAAAACATTAACGATGAAACCATGACAAAACATTAACGATGAAATCATGACAAAACATTAACGATGAAATCATGACAAAACATTAACGTAAACATTTATTTCCTGTGTTGTTGTCTAAATGTCATGTTGTCTCATTTTTTCAGAGAAGTTAATTAACCTGGTGACCTGGTGACCTGGTGACACCTTCAGTTCTTCAAAAATAATTCATAACTGCCTTCTTCCTGTGTTGATGTCTAAATGTCATGAGGTTAGAAATGAGGTTAGATCTAACCATCTACCCTAAAAATTATTTTTGGTGAATTCAATAAAAATAAATGGTTCATTTACTCACAATATTTTTGTACAAAACGACCCTAAGCTTTTAACTTCTTTTCTGCAGCTTCTAATGCTATCTTAGCGAGTTCATATTCTCTAAATTCTCTCTTTAAATTTTCTTGTTCCCATTGGTCTAGTTCGAATGGAGAATCTCTATAACCATAACATAACTCACGTTCATGTTCTAATTGTTTTTCACACATTTTTCTAACTTCTTGTTCGAACAAAGGTTTAGCATTCTCTACTGTATCTTCGAGTTCTTCTTCATCTAATTTCTCATGAACTTTCTTGTCTATGGAGTCCATAATATCTTTGACATAAAATGCATACTTTACAGAGCACCATTCAGCAACAAAATGAACGAGGTCAGGATGTATGTAAATACCTTTGAATTCATTCATAACACCCTTTGTAAGCTCATAAAATGCTTGTTTTGAGGTCGAGCCACTTTTGGCTTGACCGTATTCGTTCATCCAAAACTCAAGAATTTCCTGCATTTTAGCACTATTGAGAAATCTGTTTAAATGGTTTAACTTTCCTGCTTCTCTTGCCATCTTTGTTGCATTAATGTAACCATCCTTGTCTCTACGTAAGACTTCAATACCGTTATAAGTGCCTTTTGTGAATGTTTCGCCATTAGATTTGTTAGTGAATGTTTTTGCTTCGACTGACATTTCTGTTCTTACATACAAAATAAAAAATAAATAAAAATAATTTTAAAACTAACTTTATTTTTGGGCTGCATCATATTTTCGTAAATGTTGTCAAAATGTCATGTTGTCTCATTTTTTCAGAGAAGTTAAATAACCTGGTAGCACATGGTAACATGGTAGCACCTTCAGTTCTTCAAAAATAATTAATTATTGAATAACCTAAAAACATGAGACTTTGTCTCCGGACTCTTTGAGTCACTTAACGTAAACATTAACGTAAACATTTATTTCTGCAGTTCATCCATTACTTCATTACCTAATTAATTACAGACATAAAATATATTTAGTTCATTCGGTAAGCCTAAACCCTTTGGGTCAAGTCTCAAGCGCGTTCAATGAATGCGGTACCATGCGAATACAGTCACAAATGGTGGCATGTAATCTTTACCCGAGCCTGTTGGATTTGTTGTGAAAGTGTGTGAATGATTACCTGCGGTTCCACAGAAAATACCTGTGCTTGAATCTACTGGGTCAGTTGTGATATCATATCTATTCATTCCCCATCTATCCGAACCCGCTGCAAGATTTGTATAACCTCTTTTTGTTATTGAATGTGAATGATTACCTGTTGTGTTTGTAGTTCCTGTATGAGTGTGCGGTGGAAGGTTTGCTTCTTTAATTTTCTTCGAACCTCCTGTTTGCTTTGAATATCTAGCACAGTATAAGAATTTATCTACAATCTGCTTCCACGTACCAAAACCTAAAACTGTTGATGGATTTGTTGAGTTCATTGATGTATAAATAGAACCAACAGGATATAATGTTTGAAGAATTTCATTTTTCATGCTTGTAATCACATCATTTACTTCCGACTTCTTTGCATAATTTTCATTCACATATGTTTTATCTGCTTTAAGGTCTAAACATCCTGAAACCCATTCTGTATCAGCTTTAACTTTAAAAGTCTCCGATGTCCATTCATGATACCATTCAACCTTTTCTTTAATTTCATTATCTTTTTCATCAACATAAACCAAATTTGCCTTCTTATTTAACTCACTATCCACATATTCCTTATCCGCCTTCTTCATTATGTCGTTTAGGAAACCTTCTATGAATTCCTCATTTAAATTAAATCTTCCAATCTTCAAAACTTTAGGAAATGCATTTAATGCGTAATATCTCTGTTCTTCTGGTGGAATTGATGTTATATCATCCGTTATTCCTTTAATTTTTGAATTCATAAATAAAATTTCTTTTATATTTGATATCACTGCACCACCTTTGCAAACGAATTCGAAATGTTCATTTTTCAATACTATCTCCAAATCTCCATATTTCAACCTTTGCGTTTGTTCTGCCGTCTTTGAATTATATGCATATATGGCGTATGTAATGGTCTGAAGGACCTGGGTGTTTTGTGCCTTAAGTTGTTGTGGTTTAATCATTTATTATGATTTAAAAATAAATATTTAATCCGTTATCTCATCACCTATTTTTTCTATTTGAAATTGCCATAATATTTCATTCATGAATTCTAAATCACAATCAAATAGGTCAGTTATTCTAAATTTAATATTTGATAAATCTTTTGAATGAAGAATAAATGAATTCCCGGATAATTGAAACGGATATGATAAAGAAAATGTGTTTAAGTTGATGGATAAAATGTTTTGTATTGATGGGTAAGAGTTAGGGTCTAATGTTTGATGTGAAAATCTCATTGGGGTATTAACTTTATCACATTTGATTAAAATGAAATTGGAACCAGTGTCAGAATACAAAACATCCCCAACATCTTTTTCAAAAATTAATATTCCCAACAATGAACGAAGATGAGGAGTACAAAATTTAATTTTCAGCGGAAATTTAATAAGGTTATTTATTTCATCAAGTTCAAAAAGTTTATCGGGTTTTGATTTAAAATTTTCTTCATACCATACGATAAATGATTCATTTAAATAACTTAAAATCATGTTAATATCCCATTTCGCTATCACATTATTTATATACATATCATACGTTTTTTCATGGTCATCTTTAATAAATGATATATAATCTGAAGGGTCTAAAAGAATGGGATTAAATTTACCACTCACAGAAACGAGAGTAACATTATAAATTCCGCTAACTGTTAAATTTAATTCACAGTTATTATTCGAAATAATATTGATAATTGACATTTTTATTACGATTAAAAATATGGTAAAGCGTTATTTTCCAGTGATAAATAAAACTAGAATAAGATTACCTCAAGAATTCATAAATTCAACGAATAAGAAATTCATTCATGTTATAAATTTTAGTGTTTTCAGAAAATATGAGTCAATGTCATATTCATCAACAGGTTATATTTCACTTCATTCAAATTTAGTTCAATCAAACCCATATAATGACCATTTCATAAGATTTTCAGATGGTATTAAAAATGTAATTGATAGATTAAAATATGAACAGATTGACAATATCGAATTTTTGGAATTTTGGTTTAAATATCCCGATGGAAAAAAGATTGAAGTTAAAGATAAAGCTGATACTATAACAAAAACAATTACAATGACCGATCCAGATAGTGGGGAACAAAAAGAAATAAAACAAACGATAGAAACTGGTGAAAGGTCAATTATTATCGATTATGATTCAAAGGATTATTATTCGATAATGTTAATGCTTGAATATTAAATAGCCTTAACAAAGAATTTTTCAAGTGATATTTTATATTCATCAACTATTTTATTATAAATATCATTATATGTTAAATGAAGTTCAGTTGTTGTTCCGTTCTTTGATATCTTAATTGTGCTAATATCCTTTATAGGATTTATTTTTGCAACTGTTCCGCAGCATGAAACCTCATCATCTATGAAAAATTGAATCTTAACGTCTGAATCTTGAACATCACAAAGAATGGCGATAATGTGAATTAATGATTCATAAGGTAAAATAATTAAACCGGATTGGTCAATTAAATTTATTATTGAATCATAATTATTAATTATTATATCACGGTAAATTTTCATTAATTCAGAATTAATGTCTATTTATATGGGTTCTCGATGTTTGATGAAAGAGGTGGGGGTATGTTGGATAAGTGGGAAGTTCAACAGGTTCTTTACCGGGTTCAGATAAAATGATTGGGTCTCCATTCTCATGGTTTTCTTCATTCTCCTCATTCTTCGGTAAGTCACGAGTTAATAAATTTTGTTGAGTTGCTGACCTTGTTAATTCGGGGCTAACATTAACTTTAACATTTTGAATAATTCGTGATTTATCATCATTTACGTTATAACCAACCGTAATCTCTGCTTTTGCGTTAGTGTTCTTTTGACTAGTGAAACGTCTTCTCATTTATATTCGAATAAAAAAATATATTTAAACTTTTATTTTGCTGGAACTTTTGAATCTATTATTCCCTGTATTTGTTCATGAAGTTGATTTTTAGCATTTTCATCGAAATTAATAGACCGAATATATTCATTAATTGCATTCTTATAATCATCTGATTTCTCAAATTTTCTTTTATCTGATTCCTTAACTAAATCATAAGTTAAACCACGTTGCTGATATAATGGTTTCTTAATTAAATCTTTGAATGCTTGAGATAAAGCACCTGATGCAATTCTTGCTACTATAATTGGTTGGAATTGCTGTTTAAGTTCATCTTTAACATTTGCGAAAACTGGATCGAATAAAGCAACTTTAAAGAATTTCTTAGCTGAAATTTCAGGTCTAATATTTGCATATTGACCATCAAACTGGTTAGAATATCGTGGTAATCCATCCGGTCCCTCTTGAATAGCATTTAATTCTTCATTGAAATAAGAATATGGATTATGACGGTATGAATTAATTGGACCATGTTCACCTTCTCCAATGTATTGTTTAACAGCTTTTCCATTTTCATCAAATTGTATAGGATAACGTTCATTATATGCTTTACGTTTAGGATAATCAGATACAGTTAATTTATAACCATTTATGACTTTAATATTACCTTGACCATCAGTAACGAAAACTTCATTTATACCATCAGGTTTTCCATTTGGACCTGTAATGTCTGCTTCGTGTGCTTCCCAATTTGGACCATGACGTTTGGCATATGCTTGAGCTTCTGGTAATGTTAAAACGTTTCTCATTTGTTTAACATCTTTTTGAAGACCAGCAACAATATGAACTAATTCTTTCATTCCATCAGGAACTTTCATAGTTCTATTATATGTACCGTTTTTGTTTGTCCCTTGTTTTAATGGAACCTGTAGAAGATTTGCTATTTCTGTCATGTTTAATTATAAATAAAAAATAAAAATTAATTATAAAAAGTTAATCAAATTTAACACTTCCTTTATTTAAATCAACTATTATTTTTCCATGTTCACCTAATTGCTGATATTGTGTGTAAAGTTCATTAATGCTCATTGGTAAATTCACTTGATAAAGCATAACGTTCAACTGTTGACGACTAAACCCACTGAAAATGAAAAGGGTTGATAGATTTGATTTAATGTTTGTGCTTAATGCTTTGAAGTATTGAACAGCCATGAAGAATGAACACTGAATGTGTCGACATTGAGTTAATAATTGATTAAAATATGATTTCTCATTTGTTATTAGTTTTGATTTCACCGCATCATCTAGAAAAATGAGTGAATGCAAAAATTCTCTATCAAAATTTGAAATAGAAAGTGTTTCAAATAATTCATCCCGTTGTTTATCAATAATTTTATCCTCTAATCCTTGCTTCTTGATTGTATTATATAATTCTTTATACATTAAAAAGTTTTTTAAATAATCTTCTGCTTCTTCTTGTGATAAATAAATAATTGGAATTTTGATTAAATGCTTTAAAGATTCAAATGTATCATCTGAATGTGAACCTGAACGGTTGATATAAATTAACACGTGAGAATAGGGTGAAGGGTTAGCAATAATGATAATTTGTTTTAATATCGTTAATGTTTACCTTATTTGTTTACCAATTGCTGCAGTGATTGAATTTAAGTAACATTCAGAATATGGAATTTTCATTAATTTTTCCTTAGATAGAGCATTTCTATTATCACTCAATGCTTCATTAATTATATCATCTACGTATGTATTATATACTCCTGCTAATTCTTCATAAGGAGTGGATGAATTTAAATCCATTTAATCAAAATAATATTTATAATTTTAAACATTTCTATTCATCAATATTTCATCATATGAACTTCTATACTGTGGTGGTGTACCTGTTGAATGATATTTCAAACCTTCATCCGGTGTCCATGTCCAAGATGTAGTCCTAGTAAACCAAACCTGAGGAGGATTTGTCACCTTTGAACAGTAAGTGTCATTTACACCCTGAATGATTGGATATGCTTTCACTTGTACTGTAACTTGTGAGTTGAAAGTTTCTAATCCATCAAAGAATATACCCGCTCCATCACGTTGAACTGGAATAGTGCATAAGAATGAAGTTTGGTCTTTCCATGTTCTAGCTAATGGCGTGCCATTATCATCATTCAGTGGTCTAGTTAATGAGTCCTCGTATTCTTTCTGTGCATTCATTCACTCCATCTAAATCAGAAGCTTGAAGCATACGTGTAAAGAATATGTCGCCCACTGTGGTCATCGCTTGATCGGGGAAGTTTCTGGAATCTATAGTGACCTGAAGACCTCGAAGCATTGGATTTTCTAAAACCGTTCTTTGCATTGCATTCTTCGGAAATGTTAACACAACATCTGTAACATTATGAAGAGCGTATGAGAAATCTGAGCTAATACCTTCAGGAGTGATGCAACCTCCATTTAGTGAACGAACGTCAATATGTTGAGCTGGAACATGAATGGATCTTCCTTACTGAATAAACGTGGTATTGCTTTAACTGATTCTTCAATTAAACCGTATCCTGGTGTAATGCATTTATCCTCTAAACTTCCATCTTTGTGCATGAAATAATAACGTCATCAACTGTTGCGTCAGCAGATGTGGCGGCTAAGCTTGTAATTAATTTGCAGGAAGTCCGATTTGTTGGAATTTGCGATCATATTTATAAACATGATTCATAATCTTTTCATAATTTTCATCAGTTATCTTTTCATAAACGTAATTTTGTAAATCAGCAACTCTTAACGGGTCAACCTGACAAAATACTAAAGTATCACTGAAAACATAATATTTAAGAATGATTTCACCAAATGATTTAGGATAATCATCGAACGCCTGAAATGCTAACAAATCATTTACTGGAATAATCATATCAAAAGTGATATTAACTTCTTCATTTGCGTTCTTGAAAACTTCTGAAGGGTCAATATATTTACCACATACTGAGTTATCATATTTTTGAACATTATTATATAACGAATGAACAAACTTTTTAACTTTCCTTTCTGATTTTGGTTTATATGTTGCAAATGCGAAAGATTCACGGGCGCAATCCATCTGAAGATAACCGGCATCACCTCTTTCGGTTTCTACTTCTAATTGTTTAAAGCTTTGATTTGATGATTTGTAACCAACGAATAAACGCATGCATTTAAAAGCGGCATCACATGTGAAAGCTTTATTTGAAACTAGAGTTGCTTTAACTTTGCGTTTAATATATGTGTCACCTAATTGGTTCACATCATGAGCTGGATTTGTAATTCTTAAATGAGTTTGTTTATCATCAAAATATGGAGCATCAGAGTCATAGCATGAACTTTCAAGTTCTCTATAATATCTTCTACCATCATTCTTTGCGAATATTTCATTTATCTTTTCGAATGAGTGAAACACATTTCCATTAATCGGTTTGGTGTTTGGCACTAAATAGTTAGTCGTCATTTATTAATAAATAAAAAATCAAAATTAAAAGATGAAAATGAATTTTTAATTTTAATGAAATAATCAACTATGGCTGCAGGATTCTTTAAGAAACTGTGGGATAAAGTAAAAAGAGGAGCGCATAAAGTTTGGGAAACAATGAAGAAGGGAGCAAATTGGATATTTAAGAATAAAGAAGCAATTAGTGACATTGCTGAATCAATAACACCAAAAGTTGTCCCAATAAGAGAAGTTTTAAATAAAGGAGAAAAAGTTTATCAAAGACTACAACCGATACTAAGATAAAAATAATATTTATTTTTCCACTATCTACCCCCTATTTTATTAAGTATTCCTTCAGCTATTCCACCAATTGCGTTACCTGCTTGTGCTCCCATCGCTGGATTACCTGCTTTAGTACCTAATACTCCACCTATGATAGTTCCTGCCGTTTTTGCTACTGGTGCCAAAAAGTTTGCAACGGGTTTAATAATCTTTTTATAAACCCAACCCGCAGCTTTCTTAATTCCATCCCATAATTTTTTAAAGAATCCTGCCGCCATTTCTGATTTAATATTAATTAAAAAATATATTTCATCACTTATATTCTAATTTTTATTTAATGATAAATGAAACCGATTTTAAAAATAAATGAAACAGAGGAGGAAGAAATAAATGAAAGTGAAAATGTTCAACAAAAAATAAACGTTGTTAAACCAATTACTGAAATAAAAATTTTTTCATCTGTTGAAGAATTTAATGACTATTATGCTAACAATAAAAAATTATTTGAAGAATTGACAACGTGTAAATTGAATAAAATGTTTAAAGTTGATGGATTCAAAATTTCAAAAATAAAAGGAGTGGTTAGTTTGAAATCTATTCCTCAATCAAGAATCACCTCATTAATGAAAATAGATGATTTAACAAAAAGAATAGAAGAGATTGAAGAAAGAATAAATCAAATAATTAATTTCATAAATTCAAATAATCATTAGTTTCTTAAAGTTCTATGTTGATTCTGAGACATGAATTTTTAAAGTTTATTTTTTTATTTTATTATGGTAGTGAATCTTTCATTCATGAGGTCTTTGATTATGACTCCATTGATTCCATTCAGGATTTAAATGATGTTTAATTAATCGTGGAATATCTGACATCATCTATATATAGCTTCTTTTATAAAAGATGAAAAATAAATTATTTTAAAATTAATGTTAATTTTTTAATGATTTATTTTTCATTTCATTGTGTATGGGCTGAGTGTAAATGTCTTACAATTTTGAAAATTTTTTAAATCTTGATTTATTCAAAAACGTAAGAATAAAAACCGTAAGAATCATACATTTTTTACTTCATATGTTAAAAAAAATGATACAAAATCGTTCGATATTGTATGAATTCTTACGTTTACAAAAAAAGTCACACAACCCTTCCACATATACTACTAAAATTATATTTACCAAAATAACACGACACTACTGATAAAATTATAGTTGATGAGTTTGATGCTGTAGTGAAATTTACAATTCCTGTATCTGTTATGTAATCAATTGCAAATGCAGAATAACTAGTAATTTCATGACAAGATGTATTCATATTACTTATATGGACATCACCACGCCTATGATAAAAAGAGGCAGTTTCTCCACTGCATTGTGAAATTGAACATTCAAATGCATAACTTTTGTTGTAACTATTTTCAACTGATTCAATATAATATCCAGAACCATAACTAGTGCTTGATGAAAAATATATACAAATATGAACTAAAACGGAATCAGAATTTTTGAAATAGAACGATCCACCATAATATCTGGAGCTATTATTGTAAAACGTACATGTTTCAAGTAATACTTTGCTATTAGAATTAAGGGTGATTGCTGTTTTTTGAAAATGAAATGAAAATATTGCATGGTGAATGTAATAGTTGCCATTTCTTGATATAGTTTCGTTTTTAGTTTTATCAATAGGCTCAATTGTGCCGTAATAATCCGAAAAACTTCTTTGAAGTGCCAAAAAGAGTAGATGAGGGATCGATTTTCTTTAACACGAATTTCTGAATGTTGAATCATTCGAATAATATTGGAAATACCGTTAAATATGATTTACATGTGGTTGGGAAAGCAATTTAAGGGCATAGAACTTTCTGACATCCTCGCACAAAATCAATCATAAGGTTGAAATCTCAAGAATATAATGATCTGATGTTTAGATATCCAACGAAAAATTGATGTCCATGTTTATACAAGTTTATTTGATCACAGACACTATAATTTGTATCTTATTAAGCTTCTCGATTGGTAAAAGCTGGGCATCCTAGGAGTTCAAGAGATTGAACTTTAAGCTATATGAAATCTAATATTTTGTACCTTATTAGAAACTAATTTATTATTCATTCACTCCATATGTTATAGATGGAGGTAATTCTTGAAGCAAAATGTTTAATATAAAAATATAAGCGATATTAGTTATATTTATTTTTTTAATGGTTATCTAAAAAAAAAATTAAAAGTTTTTATGCTTCAGGAGCTCTGTTTGCGAATGAAACTGTTGATTCAACACCAAAATGTGATGAAATGTAGTTGAACTTCTTGTTATCAGCCTCAAGTTTGACAACTCCTGTAACGTGAGCACCAATGTAGTAAGGACCTTCGAGAGGGTTGAAAGCGATGACGTAATCAGTTGACAAGTTCTTGTTGATGTCACGTTTATCAGTAATAATCTTGTCGCCAGCTCCATAAGTTGGAACATGATCATGCTGAGAGTCGTAAAGGAGGTCGATGAACTCGCACTTATCAACTTTGAATGAATTGAGGAGTCTTTCGTATTCGTTTCTGGTTAATTTTCCGGCTGTGATTGGTTTGATGGAATCAATGTTAAGATTGCCGAGAACAATGACTGGGAATTGATCCTGTGTATGGTTTTTAGAGATTAATCTCATTGTTTCTCTTATTTGGTTCATTCGTACAGCTTGGCTCTCTGGAATGGAGTTATCCGTGAGAGATTGCAAGTTTGTAGCTATTACATGGATGTACTGTGTCGCTGTTGTTTGGATTCTTGCGTAAACTGAGCCCTTGGAAACAAAATAATCTTGTCCACAGCAGAGTTGGAATATAGTGTAGTCATGTTGAAGGATTGGGAGCTTTGAGAAGATTATAACGCCACCATCTGCAACAGCAATTGATGCCATCTCAACATTTGGTAATCCACAGGAATAATTGAATCCTAATTCTTTCATGCTGTTGGCAAAGCTCTTGATACTGTGGAATGGAGATGAATGTGCTTCGTTAATTGCAACAACGTCATACTGCTTAACGTGTTTAAGTAATTCATGAATTCTTAACTCGTTGTTCTGATCGTGAAATGGATGGAAGATCTTTGGGTGCATCTGCATATCAATCGTAAGGAAACTAACATGGTCGATATTAACGTTAGGATCTGGTTTTGATACAGGTGTATTTGCGTTATAATGGACTAAACGTCCGATAATCTTCAAATAGATATACCCACCAACAACTAAGAAGAATACACCAATAAGGACATTCTGTATAATTACTAAAGCGTCCATTTTTGGATTTTTATTTTTCTAATGTAATGATAAATTTTCAATAACGATTAATTTCTTTCAAATTTTTTTTTAGTGAGTTTTGAAACTTTGAAAAAATGATATTCTTGCTGATAACCCAGTCTTTGGGTTTCAGTAATGAGACGTTATCTTTCAAGAGTTGCCAAAAAGGTAGTATATTTAATATTAACTCGGCAAATTTAATTCATTCACCAAAATTTCCAGGAGACCAAGTGAAATTTTCATTAGACCTTGAGCTTTTTGGTCGTGTCATAGATCCTATTATTGAAATTCATCTTTATAAGCTCAGGACACCAGATATTCGATATCGTCAAAAATTATGTGATCTTAGTCTCATGAAATGCCCATCTCATTTTGCAGAATTCGTTTACGGTACTAGTTTTACAATTCCTCCAAATTTACAACATGGAAAATATCGTCTTCGAGTTTTATTCTTAGAAGATCATCAAAAAGTTGGTTGTTATGAATCTCAATTAATAGTAGGCAATAATTCTCATTAGAATTAGATAATTTCAGCGAAATTCATTAAAAAAACGTTGAATCTTATCAATACAAATAAAATTCAAATATCCAACAGCCCTTGTATAGTTATAAGATCTTATTATTGAACCATTTTCAAAAAAAAATTGAAAAACAATCAAAATAGAGTAAATTTATATCAATGATATGAAAAATGAACGATGTTGTAATGTAATTTTCTAAAAACTTCGTTATCGAAATAATCTAATTTTTTGATGTTTTTTAATTTCTGAAACATATGAAAAAATAAATAACAATGTGTGCATAAAAATGTATGCTCTTCTAATACTTATTCAGAAAAATACAATTTCTATCATAAGGAAAAAGTATTTTCAAGCGCCAAAGTTGTTTCAGTCATTATTTGATCTATGCTATGGGATAGTTTGAATGCCCATAACTCTCTTTAAATCAATTTATAGGAAATATCCTATAATTATCAAAATAAATTGTCATTATTCATCAAAAAATAGATAAACTTATGCCAATTCGATGCATTCCAAGTTATAAACCGGAATATATAATATTAAATAAGTTTTTTGAAATCAAGCAAACGGCAAAATATGGCTTTAACAAAATACTACAACGGAGCGAAGATGTGTCTCAAAAGTTGCACTATATGGTTAATTCTTGTTTATTCTAAATTTGTTGTATTGAATGAATCGCAAAATTGAATCAAATAAACCGTTTGATTCAAAATTGGATCTAAATTCAATGGGGCTCGGCGTTGATTCAGCTTTTTTGCTTTACCTCTGAGCAAAGTATCCTCGGTTAATGATAAAAGCAGCCTATCCCAAGACTGCTTGCGATTATTGTATGCCAATTTTTCAAAGAAAATTTCAGATCCAAATTTTGGACCTCTTTCTCCATAAATTATTTCACTAACACTCACTCCGTTCTACATGTATTACTTTCTCTCAATTTGAATTGACAAAAACTAAAAAATGACGCGGCAAAAACGGCTATTTTTTTGAATTAAATCGGTTTTTCTTTCAATAACATTTTTTCCATGTTCCTTCTTTGTCTTGTTAACTTAGGAGAATCCAGACTGAGACGCCCACGTCATCATATGAGAGAACATATACAGGCAAACAGCTGGTTTGGTTGCCATGAAACCAAAAATACATACGCAGAAAAATTAGTTATTAACCGTGTTGATGGTGATAAAGACACAGACACAGTTTACACAACTGATATATCATCTCTTCGCGATCTAGTTGCAACCAAATATCCTCTTCTTCTTCCTAACTTTGAATATTATGACGGTAGTGCACCCTATCATGAAGTCAAGTATTCAAGTAATACTGGACATTTTGTCATTGAAATTCAAAAAGTCACTCCCTATAGAGAAGGAAACCAATATCGTGTTGTTTTCGAAAAAGGACAAGGATCCTGTGATTACACAGCTCAGACAAAGACTGTTTACACTAAAAAATGTTACGGAAAGAAGATGAATCAGAGAGAAACATTTGAAAACAGAGCTCTTTCAAGTGAAGAGTTCCAATATCTTCTTACTGCCATTCAAAATAAGATTGGCTGGAAATTCTTATGAATTTCAAATTTAATTTTACGTAAATAATTACGATTTCAGGTAAATATTAAAAATAATATTATTCATTCTAATATAGAATATATATTAGTGATACAATAACTTATTTCTGAGGTTACATTGTTATTGGAATATAACATTGTCTGAATATTGAGTAATTTAATGATCTAGAGAGTGTTCATTATGCTTTGCTATACCTTAATTATTATAATGATTAATTAGTTAAATTACAATGATTTGAATTAAATTATGAATTATTTCAAATTATGTCTTATCAATTATAATGATATAGGATCACAAATTACTTACTAATACTATGCGGGCTGCAACAGATTTCAAATCAAGAACTCCATTTAATGATTTGGAAAACCACAATCATTAAACTCCATTATAGTGGAGTTTCACTAGATGCAATGTCACATCTTTAAACATATTAAAACACAAGCATGCCATTAGATTTATCACCCTATAACTTATTAGATGATAAGAATTATGATGTTAGGTTTCAAATTGTATTATACTTTAATGTTTTGCGAAATCTATCAAAGTATACTCCAAATGGGTTCATACTTAATTGAATGATTATTTTTCCCCAATATGCAAAATAGATTGCCTCAGCTGGTTATGAAATCGAGATGAAATCTCATTATAGCATGCCAGTACCTGAATCCCAGCATTTTTGGAAAAATAGACTTGCGATTGGCTCTCGTCTAAACTCTCATTTAGATGAGAGTTCAGCATAGGAAAAATTTGAATAATACTTTAATTTTGTTCAATTGATCGTTGCACTCCATGCTGCGAATCCGGACATTTCTTTAATAGTGACGAAAATATGACTAAAGTTAGACCTATCTAAGATAGATGGAGAGGTCCATTAATGGAAATGCTAAATGGTACTACCTATTTAACAAATGGAAATGGAAGAGTACAATTTTTTAACGATGAATTGGTGTATTCTGTAATAAGAATGGAACTTGTTACTCTGCATTTTATCTCATAAATGTATCTACAACTTACCAAGTAACTGTTGACAAGAATCCTAAATGCATTTGAAAGATCAGAAGGGTATTACATGTAATAAAGATGGAAATAATGTAACCATGCAGCAATTATTAAATATGATGGTGTTGTATTAGAAGAAGGAAAAAGTAAAACAGTCTTGATTGTTGGCCTTGTTGTTGCCTTTATTGTTTTAATAGTAATTGTTGTAGTGATTATATTAATGGAGAAGAAGAAGAAATATAACAGCAAACAATCTAATGACGACGAAAACATTTAAAAAATATCACTATATTTCGTTCGATACTTCACAGTAAAATATATCAAATTTTAATTTTTATATCACAAAGATTATATCGGTGGGTTTAAGTGTATCCCTCAAATGAGTAGTAATTATAAACAACAGGTTACAAATTTTCAATATTAGTAAATATCACCAAAGCATTTATTTATGTTTCAAATAGTGGTTTCTTACTAATCTACAATGACATTCATCGATTGAGCAAACAAAAATAGAATAATGAGAAATCAATGCATAACAATTCAACGATGAAAGATATATTATCATATAAAAATAAACTAATTGTGAGAATATAATAAAATTCGGAAGGTTCAAATTGAGTATTGAGTGGATTTGAAAATGCTATCGTACACCACTTACAGAACCAGAAGTCAGCATTATCTATGATATTGTTAGAGAAAAGATTTCTCATTAAATAAAAACTTAATTTAAAATAAAAATACTTCGGACCATTTAAGGGATTGGTCTGTAAAATTTAAATATAAAATATAACTTTTGAAAAATTGCATTGAAAACAAACTTTGGATATTTATTACAGAATGAAAGAAATTCACATTACTTCAATATTATTAATTTTTTTAATTCAATTAAGGATGTTCACCCATTCAAATTTCAGTGCATTCAAAATGAAAGTTCATTTTGATGTTGTCAATTATTTTAAGTCATATCGCCTGTGAAACAGATCCACAGCAGATTATTAGGAATATAGATTCTTGCCTCCAACAAACTCCAAGAGAAATCGATTTTCGAAATGCAAAAGTTTGGATTCATGGAGTAAATATTTCATTTTATGACCCTTCAAACAATAATTGGAGTGTCGAAGCAGATTCAAGGTTTTATTGGTATCCAGGATCTGGTTTCTATGATGTTAATAAACATTATCCAAGAAATCGAAATCCTTATAACTCTGATGATAATATGTGTTGGGCTGGTTCAGCATCTAATGCACTATTATGGTTCCTAAATATAAATGATGACGAAGTCCAATATTATTTGAAGAAACATCCATATATTGCTGAAACACTCCCATCATATAAATTCAACCAGGTTGGATATGATCCAATATTCGACTACTTCCATGAATATTTTGAAGACCAACAATCCTGGCCAACCAAAGGATTTCAATGGTTCCTTAATGGTGTTCCAAGTGGAGGCAGAATCAAGAGAAGAAGTAACTTAAGCTTTGAAGGATTCTTCCATGATATTTTCACAGGCAAAGAACTTTTCACAAATACAGTCAGAATGCCTAAGAAAGAAGTTTTCAATGCATTTATTAAGGAATCTCTTAGAATGAACAGAGCCATTGGCTTTGTTGCTAATCTGAAAAACACAGGAAACCATGCCATGACCTTTTGGGGATTCGAATTTGATGATGAAGGAAATGTAAATTACGCATATGAAGCTGATAACAATGAATACAATGACTTTGATAGGTCATTTGTCAGAAGAAGAAAGATACAGTATTCAAATTATGCCGGACAATATGCAACACTAATGAATACTGGGTATGAATGGCCAGTCACAGAAGTTTATGCTGTTGATGCTCAAAAAGCTATTTGGAAGCGATACATTTCAAAAGAAGAAAATCCAAGTGCCTATGAAGAAGAAGAAGAGAGACTTCAAAGAGAGGAAGAAGAGCGTCGTCGTAGAGAAGAAGAAGAAAGACGTCAGAGAGAAGAAGAAGAAAGACGTCAGAGAGAAGAAGCAGATAGACGTCAGAGAGAAGAAGAAGAAAAACGTCAGAGAGAAGAAGCAGATAGACGTCAGAGAGAAGAAGAAGAAAAACGTCAGAGAGAAGAAGAAGAAAGACGTCAGAGAGAAGAAGAAGAAAAGCGTCAGAGAGAAGATGATGATGAAGAAGCAAAACGTCAGAGAGAAGAGGAAGAAAAATGTCAGAGAGAAGAAGAAGAAAAGCGTCAGAGAAAAGATGATGAAGAAGCAAAACGTCAAAGAGAAGAGGAAGAAAAACGAGAAAAAGAAGAGGAGGAAAGGCATGAAAAAGAAGAGGAAGAAAAGCATCAAAAGGAAGAAGATGAACGGAAAAAGGAAATTGACGAAACTGAGATAAAGAAGAAAAAAGAGGAAAATAAAGAACAACAAGGAAATGATGATTCGAACCGCAATGAAGATTTGCAAAAGGAAGCTGACGGAAAATATACTAAAATCATTGGAATAACATCCGGTATAGTTGTTGCTATTGTTGTTGCTGTAATAATTATAGTTACTGTTATCATCATCAAATCAAAGAGGAATGAGAAAGTGAATGGAACTTCATCATCAGGTGATGATGACTGCACATATATTTCCTAAAATATTACTTATTTCATAGTTGCAGACTTTTAAAAAGAAAATATTTGATCAAAATAAAAATACTCCTAGAGAAATTGCTGGTTTTTTGATAGTGGATAAAAAATTGCAATTATAGTTTGGTTACTATAACATATTGGGAATAGGAATTCATTGTATGAGCTTTGCCGTACAATTGGTGATAATTTCATTTGCAATGAAATTTTACATATTTTTCATTTAAGAACAAGATATCAGTTCCAATGTCACCAGGTATTGCATTGATGTAATGTCTCATTTCAATAAATTAGTGTCACAATAAATTCTAATAGAATTTTCTAAAGTATTCGCTTATACAAAAAGTTTGTCTTATATAAGAAATCAAACATTAATTTAACTTCCTCAAATATAATTGAATGGACTCATATCATATAGCAACTTGTGGACTGAAATTATATTAAATTAAATTTGATTTTTTTGGGCCAAACAATCGTGGTATGCTTATGTATTCATACAATCGTATTCAGCTCATTTAGACAAATAGAAACATGATACGCATGTTATTAAATTTTAATTTCTATCTTTTTTTTGTGCGGCTAATATTACAAAGCTTCTATTTTCTTTCATCCATATATGTTTAAGCCATTATAACTCAAGATATTAAAATCTCCATAATGAAATCGAGAAATTGAAAGCTCCTGGAAATATAAACTCCAAAATATTTTCATCTCTCTTAAAAATGATACGTAATTTGTCATATAAAATAATTAACAATATCATTCTTTATTTATTCCTCCTTTAGGTGCTGAAGGAATATCCTTATCTTTAGTGGTTTTGATCTTGTGGATCTGGTCGTCAGCAAGAGAGGTGTCTTCGTGGTTGGCACCTGCTACGATAATCTGATCCTCAAAGGCAACCGTTTTGTTGGACCAGATTCTGGTGCCTTTCGGGACTCTAAAAACTATGCCATCGATATGCACTTCTACGTTTTGATTCATTAAATTTAATATCCAATATGATAGGAAAAAAACGATAAAATCCAATTCAATAAAATCAACAAAAAAAAATTAGATAATGTTATTTGTTTTTTCATTGATACGAGTGAGTAAATCATGGTGGGGTGCTCCTCACTATACTGTAGCTCGTTTGGCTGAAACTAGGCTCTCTCCAGAGCAGTTAAAATACATTAATGATATTCTTGAAACATGGACAAGTGAAAAAGCCGTTTTTCATGATACAGCAAATTGGCATGATGATATCAAAGCTGCAAATGTTGCTATTATGGCCAATTGGCATTTCCGAAATCAACCAATATTTTCTTCTGATTATGAAGGAGACTTTTCATATCCAACAACTTACAACATTACTGATGCCAGTAAAGACTGTATCAATACTATAATGAGCGAAACTACTACAAGCCAATGGATTTTAGGTTTTTGTTTCAGAACATTGTCTCATTTTGTTGCTGATGCTCATTGTCCAGTGCATTCAGCTGGTAGATGGAGCAAAGCTTTTCCAGATGGCGATAGAGGAGGAAACTCCCAAGCGGTTGTCTGCACTTATGGCCAACCATGCAGAAATATGCATATGCTTTGGGATTCTGCATGCCTAGATTTCCAAATATGGCCATTATCCAAGAATGATGTGGACGAATACGAAAAAAATCTTACAAATCTCTTAAATAATTATCAGCCAAAAACATATCTCCCTGAAACATATCAAAGTACTGATCCAGATGTATGGGAAAATGAAGCGTATCGGTATGCTTCGAAATATGTTTACGGAAATTTACCCGATGATTTTACTGCCAACGATACTTACATCAAAGAAGGTGCTAATGCCGCTAAGCAGCTTATTTCAGCTGCCGGATATCGCTTAGGCGAAGTCCTCCTTAAATTCTTTGAAGCTAGGAAAAATAGTTTACCTCAGCTTTATGAGAAGCCTAAAGGAACATGGTTGATAGTCGCATGGGTAATTAATGGTATCCTTATTTGTGTGAGTGTCGTTTATACTGTTGGTGAAATTCGTTCTATTGGAAAGAATCGTCACCACAAAATCTAAGATTAATAAAAAATTAAGTATCTATCTTAAAAATAATAAACATTTACTCTATATATAATATACAAATAATCTATATTCAAGGAAATAGAAAATGAATCGGAAACTTAAGCGTCAATCTCTGGGACGAAGTAGTTCATTGACTCAACGTATGAGCCAACAATTGGTATTGAAGTGTTTGAAAACATAAAATCGTAATCATCATCTTCAACTCCGTAAATTGTATTCGCTGGTGTATCATTAGTGTTGGCCTCATTGGCATCAAAGAGGCTGTAGTCATCGTCGTCCGATGTCATTCTCTTGAAGAAAGGAAGGAAACTCTGAGGAATTAAGTCCTCTGTAGATTGAGCTGTCGATAAGACAGTATCATCGTTGCAGTCTATTTGATTTGAAACCTGTATAAAGAGGTTATCATTTGATTGATAAAGATGATAAGATTTCTTGCAGCTGTAGCAAGATAAAATGATATGATGCTCATTAACTTTAGTAAGTTTAACGCATCCAAAGTCTAAAACAGAAACTGAATACATTGGAACATGATAGACTGGAGTTTTTCTTCCCAAAATTTCTTGCTGTTCTGTTTTAGATAAGCCTGTGTGCTTAGCTTCGCATATTTCAGTGTCGTCTATTGTTATGTTGTTGCACTTGCAGGCCAGGCTTCTTGATTGTGTGAACATTTATGAAACTGAAAATTAAAATTTTAATTCAAAAAAATTTTTACGGCCATTATATGAAAATTCCGCCAAGTAAAAATGAAATATTTGATGACACAATAACTCACCAAAATATCCAAAATAATTTTGCAAATTACCTCAGACTTTTCAGAGGATTGAGTGGCAACTCAATCCTCTGAAATAGTCTGTGGTAATTTTTAGTTTCTACACTATTTCAATATAAGCTCCATTTTTAAACAGTTTTTAAAAATCGAGCATTGAAAAGTGTGATGAGACTATAGAATCTCAAATTGTTCTCAAAAAACTCATTTAAAAAAGTTTTCTCCATTAAAAAATATTGCTATTTGCACTGTTGTCCACATAACAAGTATAAAATTTTCTCATTGAATTTGAATTCAATAGGGACATGATTTTCATTCAATTTTTTAGGTCGAATTATATCATTTATTTATAGCAAAGGAATCGATTATGTAACTGAAATTTTTCAATTACGTTAAAATATATTTTCATTGATCGTGGTTTATTGAAAAAGGTGATCAATGGGCCAAACTTGGAATGGTCGCTGACATATTTCTTCATTAAACAGTTCTCGTTTTAAATTGTATATTTAAAACTATTTTCCCATCGTTCAAGTTACAGAAATGGCATCGGAAATTACTCAATTTTGAGTAATTTTTATTTTATCTAATGGGTATTACTATTAATATATGCCATCAGTATACATATGCTTTTTTGCAAAAATAATGCTCAAATCTTTGAAAAAAAATGAGATGTCATGAATGTTAACTCCATTCTTGTTTTCTAATAAAATCTAATACGTTGGTATATAATTTAACAATGTGTGTACACCATTAAACGATCCTTGATCATCTTTTAAGGTGATAAATTGAGAAAGTGGTCGCCTTTACATTAGAATCTTATAATGCATCCTTTGATGTGTAATTATATTGGGTAATATAAATTTATCACATTAGTAAATGATAATCATAGATAATCTGAATTTAGAAAGGTGACCAAACTATTTTTTGAAAGTCCGCCATAACTTTAATGGTACTATTTCAGCGTGTACAATGAATACAAAAATTCTAAGAGTGCCACATAAAATAGTACTTTAGACTTGAGTTAATGCTACCAAGCAAATGTTAAAAAGATGACTTTAGTGTTTTGATAATCAAAGATTAAAATCATTATTGTCTAAATCAATAATCATAACGACAGAAGTTAATGTTTTTTCATCAGTGCTTTAAATCCATTTTTAAAAGTATACCTCAAAAATCAAAATATCAAAAAAAAATTGGCCGATAGGTTTGGCTTTAATTTTTGTCTGCTTTTATGATTTGATATGGATGTTATAATTTTAAAAGTTGAGCCAAATTCACCAATAGATTTTTGAGATTTGCAAATACTCAATAATTTTCAGCGTGTTATCTTTTATTAAAAGAACTATTTGGTTTCAGTATCATATAAATTGATATTTACTTTCTATTTGAACCTTCATTTAGCTAATGATTTAGTAATACAGATTTCATCTAATCCTTATAAGAGAATTTTGAATTTGTTATAATAAAAAAACAAACAGATATAGCTTACACTTCTATAATAAAGATACCTTTTATAGAAATCAGTATGAAATGTGTTTTTTGACACGTAAAGCTCTCAATTCATTATAACATGTTTGTCGATTTTTATATATTTTTCGCTTTCATTATCTATGATATTAAAAATTATGTCATCAGAATGTGAAATAATTAAACAAATGCCCTGCGGGAAGTATTTTATACTAGAATTTATAAAAAAAATCACTGTACGTTTAGCCTACTGGTTATGTCGTGGGGTTCAAAGGCAATATGTTCAAATCAGTAAGCACCCAGTTTTTTTTTTTTTTTATTTTTTTTAACAAGGTGAATATAACTTTTGATCGAAATCAATGAGTTACATGAATTATCATTTATCTAACTACAATTAAATTGTGAAAATATACTATCCAATATTAGCGTTTAATAAAATCAAAGATTATTGACTTATATTTTGAAAGTAATCTAAGCAGAATTTAGATATCCAAATTCTAAATATCTTCATGCTTAGATGCTAGATAATATATTCTTATTTGAAAAATTTATAATGTTATTATTTTCTTATTTGATATTTACTACAAGCAGAAAAGCATTTATATTGTAAATTAACAGATTATGATAATTATACTCGTTTTTATATGTTCTTAATGAAGAATATCAAACGTATTTCTATGAGTTTTAAAAAATGAAAAGTTTTAATATGGCTAATATATTTATTATCATTAATAGAATAAAAAAGTTTTTTTCGCATATCACTCGATGATTTACCTTCGAGTTTTGATAAATTTCGAAAAAATTTAAGGAATGCTCTTTGAATTTCTTTACCTATAAGCATATTATCTGCCGTATTATTTTTCGCTAATTGTAGAATTTTATTTAATTTTAATAATTAACCTTCTAAGCTTATTGAGAGATCACATTGTATATTTGATACGTAGTACATATGCTAAATCTGTGAATTAGATTGTAAGATATTGAACAAACGTTCTTAAACATTTTAGATTTTAGGGAATTACTGAATTAAACTATATTTCTTATATGATATCTTCATGTTTGGATGCTTTGGGTATAATTTATTGGGCTTTTTCTATCCAAATGTTTGGCAATGGTAACCCAATTTCTAACAAATTTATGATGGAAAAATTTATGACTTTTATGGAGCCGAAAAAAAAGCATAGAATGAATAAGACTATTAAAGATAAGCTGTAATTTGATTGTGAATTTTAAGAAAAGAATTTGGATTAAAATTTGAAATTCTTTTTTTTGAAAATTAGCCGATGATATGCTTAAGCTAAAAATTACTAGAAGCGGTGTGATATAATTTATATAAAAACAAAATACAGCTTGATTTATATAGTAATTTATGCTTTACATGTATTTTATATAAATTTTTATTGAATTCAAATATTCAATAGTTTTTTATGCTAGATTAGTTGTATTTATTTAAATATATTATATTGGCAACCCTTCTTTACCCTGTCCTAATAAACGCATTTTGTAAAAAAATATAGTGCATCAGTTTCGAACTAGCGTCCCCGGTACCCAATAGTATGGGGTAATAACCATTCGACCATTTGCCACGTAAAGCATCGCCAGATTTTTTTTGTATTTAATCACTCCCAAAACACTGTTTTGGCTTATTGGAAGCATATCAGACATAATCGCCATAATCAAAAAATCTATATACCCAATAACTAATAAATTTGTCGATATAGATTTTCCATAAAATTAGTTTTTAGTCTGATCTTAAAATAAATTTAATTTTTTATAAAAAAAATCACATTTAAAAGTACCTTTTTAGTAGCTCGAAATCCTGTTGGTGGATTTCGGGCGTACTTCAAAATTAGCTTTTCTTCTACATATGCAAGCTATATTTTAAATATGGGGCAAATCGGATCGGCGAAAGGAGTTTAGTTAACTTTGAATTTAGATAGAATTATCTATATAAAGTTGTATTGGCTTCAGAGTTTGTTTGCTATCAGAAGCAAATCGATTTCCAATTAAATATTTAATGTCGGGATTACTAATTAAGTAATTTGAATTAAATTGACAATAAATTGCCAAAAAATATATTGCAATTGCAGAAAATGCACTTTTGTGAAAGGTATGCTGAGGTTTTATATCCTATTGTGTAAATTATTATATTATCGAAAAAATTGTCATATAGCAAGCTAATTCTTAGAAAACGATTCATGAATTCAATAAGTATATTGCAAATATGTGAAAGTCATACCATCAATTTATAATTCAAATGAGATCTACAATGATTTGAAAGAAAGAACCGGATATTGGAAACTTATTCATTGTCTCGATATTGCCCGATATTTTGAAAAAAAAAAGGTAGTGGGGCCTCCAGGCACTTCGTGCCCTCTAGCCCTGAAGATGTTTAGTATAACTTTGTCCGGACAAGTAAGGGTCTATCGTCGCTACAGGAAAAGTTACGGGCGTTCCAAGGAAGTATACTTTGAGAAGCCTTTTCTCCATTTTAAAACAAGATAGGACGGTTATTTTACAAAACTGACAACACTTTGACCGAGTAGTTTTTTTGTGCTGAACAAAAAGTGTCATATAAACATCTGTCAAAAACCGCTTTTTAACTTCACTTAAAATGCCACGTAAGCTACGTAAGAATATACGTAAGAGGAAGAGAGCATTGAAACATCCAATAGTAAAACTGACACCACAACAACAGTTGCAACAACAAATTATGAATGACCCCACTATGTTGCAACAAATGTCAAGCAACCCTATGCTTTTAAACCGAGTTATTGGTGCACAGAGTGGAGGTTTAAGAGCGGCACTTTTAGCGAAAATGGCAGGCTATGGTGGAGCTGCAGACGGAACAGCTTATAACCCTCAAAGTCAAATGAATTTGAGTTCACTCAAAAATCAAATAACAGATGTCAAAAAGTCAAACATAGACATACAGAAACAAATAAGTGAAAACGAAAAGAAACTAGAATATGACAGACACACAAAGAAACTCAATGAGTTAAACGTAGAGAAAAAGAAAAGAAAGAAGAACAACTGAAAGAACTAAGTACAGAGGAATATGCGAAAAAAGTGTCAGAAAAAGCAGCAGAAGTAGCAAAAATGGAACAAGATGTTATAAATTTGAAAAACCATACTACTCAATATAAAGTACTGAAAGATGAAGAAATAAAACAAAAAGCCCTGAAGACATATATGGATAGCGATGAGTATAAAAAAGAAGTTGAAGCAAATGTAAAGGCAGAAAAACTTTTACAGTTGCAAACCAAACCGTACAGTATGAAAACTTAGCACAAGAAAGTAAAAATAACGACGCAGCCATGCAAAAGGCAATGAAAAGCGCAGAATATATAAAAGCTAATAATGACTGGTTAGATGCCCAAGCCAACGCCAAAGCAGCCCAACTTATAGGGTCAATAAGGACAAAAATACAAGCGG